CCCCCCCCCCCCCCCCCCCCCCCCCCCCCCCCCCCCCCCCCCCCCCCCCCCCCCCCCCCCCCCCCCCCCCCCCCCCCCTACACTTGATAGCTAATTCAAGTAGAATTTTATAGGCAGTGTACGGAAAAGTTCCTCTGTTTTCCATAAAAATATTTGACCAAATAAATTCGTTGAGACAGTTAGCGTTTTTATGAAACGTGTAATTTGTTACGATTTTTTGTTGATTTACACCCAAAAAGTGCACGATCTTCAAATTGTCTCAAGGAAATACTAAAAGCTTCAGTTTTAAAGCGACATGACAATTTTAGCCACCCCTATCACGACAACTACCACAATCATTGTAACAAGTAGGACAACCACCATGGCAACTACAACTGTAAGTCACTCAAAAGTTTTGCTTCGAGACTTGTTGTGTACAGGTTTTCAGTTAAAAAGTTGAGCTTTTAAAAATCCTTTTACACCAGTGAAGCAAATTTGAAATACTCTTGTTTATACAAAATAGTCGGTAAATCGATGTTTGGTGATGCCATGTATGCACTCCTTGTAGAATACAAAATTAATCACACTTTAACAAGGTCATTTTAAGACGTAAAAGGATGATTTAATCTTCTATCTAATCTTAATTAAAATCAGCTATCCAAAACTGAAATTTCATTTTTAGCCAGAAAAAGTTAGAAATATGCAGTGTTTACAGACTTTGGAGAACTTAGAATGAGCTTTTACTTGTCCCATATAGGGAACTTAAATGAGTTTGTTGAAGATTTTCAAAACAGAGTTTTTTATTATCTTGAGAACTGACATCGAGTTCTTTGTTATGGGAGTTCCCTATATGGGACACAAGTTCTTTTGTAACACTCTTAAAAAAATTAAGTGTCTTAAGAGTTCGCAAAATTAGCAGAAAACTGATTCACTTCAGAATCAACTTACAGGCGTCTGATACTTTTGACCTAGGATTTTTAGGGGGAATATCTATTCACATATCGAATTTATCACTTTTTACGCCCAGCGAACGAGAATAACCATCCAGAAAGCAACGATACTCCCGATCATTTTTGATAAAATAAGAAAATCTTGACTTTCCCTTGCTGAAATACTAATCTCTAAACTATTTTGTCTTATGGACTAGACTGTCTGTAGATGCAACCTGATGATGCTGTTAACATTTTCAAACATGATCTCTTTTGTGTTTCCTTACAGACCGTGACATATGCTATTCAAACGACAACATCAGATAGTATTGGTGCGATACGAACACAGACAATTTTACAGTTGTGTAAGTGTGCTTGTTCTTGTCAGCTGGATAACACACTGCCATCAATGTTACTAGTAAATTTGATTAATTCCACTGAGAGACCTCGTCGCTCAGAAGACCTGACACTTGTTACCGATCGATGTGCCAGTCCAGTTGATTAATATTTTAATAAAATACAAAATTTACGTGAAAACAAAATGTGGTTGGTATAGCTGTCTTACTCAACCGATTAGTTTTACTGGAGCGAAACGCAATACAAAGTAATCGTAGTTCAATCGGATAACTACGTTTTGTTAGATTTCATATTTTTTATTTTTCTAATAATAAAGTATTTTAAGCATTTTCCTATGTCTGGTGTATAAAGATGATATAAACAAATAACTGTGAAACCATATAGAGACAGTTAATAAAAACATAGCGTTCCCCATATGGAAAAGCTGAGAAGGTAAATATAGTATATTTTTCAATTCATGCTTATTTTTCATAGATCTCATGCTTGCAGTATAAGCAGTAAAGATCAAATATTCTTATAAAAGCATCTATGCATTTAGGATTGTTACGGGCCAGACCTGATCGAAAGCCCCTCTACATCTACAATTCTATGATGACGCCTTTTCGATCTCATCGCCCAGGCTTCGTCGTGTAATGAAAATTTCAAGCTAATTCACCCACACTAAACCGAAAATGGTCTGAATATTAATCTGTTTTGTACATTCATTGGTACAATTTGGGACATTCAGACAATCAATTGTTTATTCAATACTTAATGTAAATTCGAGAATAGTTTGCAGTGTTTCTATAGTTGCCCTCTGAATCGATTTGATTTGCGGATATTTTAGCTCAGAATTGACGATACATCGCGATAATGTGTGAAATTGTACTAGTATTAAAGTTACATGGCGATTAACTGATATTTTAGTAGCTGGCTTACCTTGCGACCACGCAAATTTGCGGCATATTCAAACCACTTTTTGGCCTTAGTATTGATCAATATCACTGATGCTAGCGTTCTCTCTCGTGAAATGCAGAAATCTAAAGATAATTATATGAAAAACCGCCTTAAGGAGGCGAATGCTAAATCTTTTTTCTTAAAATCTTTGTAATATACACCATTCAATGCAATCTGACGCGCTGATTCTGGATATGCCATGTGTTTTGATTAAAAATATAATTAATAATAAAATGGATTTTATGCCAAAAATTATGTTTTTTTTAAAAACTTCAGTGAAGACTTACTAAGTTATATTGCACATGCTTTAGAAAGATCGAAAATAAATTATTTTTCTTCGTCCAAAAAACACACTACCGTTCTCCTTCACAGCGACATAAATATGAATGAGAAAAAAGATATTACACAGAGAGATTATTCAATTCGTCATTGAAAGATTATCCTTAAGGATTGGAAAATTTATTTTGTTTAAGCCACGAGATAAAATGGTTTTAATATTTTAACTTGACTTGTTCGTATAAAATAAATTTTGTTAATATATAGTAATTTTTCATGTGAGTTCAGTCTTCGTTAGGTGAACATTCGGGTAAAAATTTTTCTATTCAAAATTTCTTAGTTATGATATTCGAAAATAAGCAGATAGAAATGAAAGAAATGAAACTACCAAAATAAAGACGAGAAAACCGTGTATTCTATACACAAAGTAAGAAAAGAAAATTGCTGTTTGTCGTAGTTCTACTCTATAGACTACAATAGGTTATAAGACGAATATAGAATATATTCATTCTCATTCAAACAAAAACGTAAAAGTGTCCGTCGAACTATACCAGCACTTCTTATTTTGTTATGTGGTGCGAAGTTGATTTTTCTTCTCACTTTTTGCAGTTTATATCTGCTATTTTTGATTTTTTCATGGCAGAATCACAGTAAAAAGAAGTGATCCTCGGATGAAGTAGGCAGCACTATCGGAGAAAAAACAAGCCCTTCTTAGTTCTTTTAGTCATATAGTTGGACCATCTTTTCTTAACTAGCATTGAGGGTAAAAATGAACCTCTTTTAGATAGTTCATCAAATAGTGTGAAGAAAGTTCAGTTTTATGACCAGTGAATAAAAGGAAACTTCTAGTACGTAGTCGATATTGCTGTGTACTTGATTCAAACTTAAGAAGTTCGATGAAGAAGGATTGATTTATGAGGAATAAGAAAGTATATCTATTTCATGGGTACTATAGCTGTTAGTTCTCGTAAACTTGATTACACTATATTCTCGAAAAAAAATCCGAGTAAAACATGGTGAATCAGCATCCCAACGAGTACAAAAAATCCCTTTTGAAAGGTACGTCTTGCCACTAAAAACTTTTATTGTTCTCGACTTCAGTTGATAACTTCAATTCGATGCAGGATTTCTTGGAAATCAGAACGAATAGTTTCCTTTTTGAGGCCAGGTTTTCAAAAGAGATAGAAAAGTATCTGTAGGATTTTTGTCGTTTTTCTAGCTTTTTACTGAAATAAATTTTATTGTAATTAGAGATTCGTTTGGCTAGACTAATGACATCATGTTCTTGAAGAAAAATCTGAGTAAAACATGGTGTAATCGACTGTCACTTAGCCACAGAAAATAGTAAAAAATTGTTATTTTCTTGAATCTTAATTATTGGGCTTTGCAATTTTTTTGGGCCTGATACTACCTGCCTTCACATGACTGAGAATTTTAGTGCTTTAAAGTTTTTTTTCTGATCAAAATCAGCTTTTGAGATGGTATAAGGTTAAGAAAGTATACGAAGGCGCGAAAAGTGATTTACGTCATGCATTTTCATGTTATCTGTTATCTGCCAAATGCAATTGACGTTTTGTAAATCTATAGCTTGTTTTTTATGAGTTTGTATTACAGTCTGCACGATCCTCTAGACCGATTCGTGCTTCGAAATGTCTTGACAAGACATTTTTTTAAAAATGTCTTATTCAGATTGCCGTACGAAAGTTGTGAGACAGATGACGAAGAAACATCGATTTGTGTTTCCTCCTGAGTTAAATCTTTTTTCGCCACGAACTTTGTTAGTCCTTTTAAAAAATCGACAAGGGTTGATTTACGTTCACTCATATCTTTACTGTTCATATTTATCAGCAGCTTATTCACAATTTAAAATCTAATTCTCTGTCCACTCTATGCATTAGACTATTTGTTCGTGTTTATTTATTTATTCACTTATGCATAAACGCTCTACAGTAGCTTTGACTAACAGCCAATGAAGTTGCAGTACGCAGACTTTGTTCTCTTTTTCATTCGGTCACTCACATGCAGAGAAAGAAAGAAAATATATCGAATATTGTACGGAGATTATGACTAGTTGTCTACTTCTAGACATTCTTTTCAAATTCGAATTTGAAATTCATAGAAACACTAAGAAAGTACCAAATAAAGAACTTTTTCCTGAGGGGGTGGAGAGATTTCCAGAGGGGCTCTGCCCCCTCGGTAGTTACGCCACTAAAAATAAGAATATCTCTGAAAGTGTATGTTGATATAAACTAAGAAAGAGAAGAACAGTACAAAGATTAAAATCGCGGCCTAGGGACCACGTTACATTATTCTTCGACTATCCACGTAAGAAAGGGGACATACGAAAAGAGCGCAAAAAAACAACAACAAAAGGGACAAGCATAAAATGACAATGGGAGAGAGAAAGGATCAAATTAAAAACAAACAATTAAAAAGAAAAAGAAAACGAAACAGTTAGAGAAGAGAGAGGAGAGTATGCTTTATTTTTTAAACAATACATTAAAAAATTTAAATAACAACAACGAGAAGAATACGCAGATAGAAACGTCTGAAGAGACACCTTTTTTTTCTGTTATAAGACAAAGGAGAATAGAGGCGTACAGGAGTCGTGACGAACCAGAGATGGTCAAAAACGTTGAGTACCAGCTTTGTAGATTAAAAGAGTTGCATCTTGATCAAGAGTAGAACGCAGTAACAAATGATCTAAGGTTATAGGTAAGTCCGCAGTTTCAAGCATGGCAAACAGGATTTTATGACTCTGTTTATAAGCAGGACACTTCAGGAAGAAATGTTCAGAGTCCTCTATTTCATTACTAGGGTTTTGTGATAGGCAAAAATAGCAGAAATAGGCATTAATTAGTTTGTGTTGCTTAAGATGGAATTTCAGCTCAGAGAAACCAACCCTAAGTCGACAGTAGAGGGCATCAATACGGCGGAGCTAGCTAAAGGTACCTCTTTACTTAGGTTGACCTAGCTTAGCGATTTTTTTCATTTCGTTGCGTTACACTTTTTTTACTTAGCCTAGGTAGTTTTTATTATCTAGGCCAGGAGAAATATAATTATACCTTCTTTCCAATAATTATGCAAGAAAATACACTTTTTCGCATTTAGTATGTGACCAACGATAAAAAAATATGCTTCTTTCGTGCACTTTTTCGTTTTTTCCTGTTACCAATTCATTGGATGACAAATTTAAACAAGCATCAAATGAAATTTCATTTCCTATTTTCGATTTTTCGGACCAGCTACGATTATCGAGATATTCACAAAACAGCGCCTCTATACTGCAGAATAGTGAATATCTCAGTGATCGTAGATGGTCAGAAAAAACTGAAAACAGGAAATGAAATCTCAGTTGATTCTTGTTTAAATGTGTAACTTTCATCCAATGAATTGGTAGTAGAAAAAAACGAAAAAGTAAACGAAAGAAGCATATTTTTTTATTTATTATTTTTGAAACGAGCACACGCCTTTTATTCTGGCGCCGATAATAGTAGAGAAGGTTTTTTGGTTCGCTTTAGTCACACGAGATTGATTTATCATGTGTATGTCTGATTTTTCCACTGCTGTATTTTTCTGGTTTTCTGCGTACAGCACTTTATTGTTGAAAAAAAGATTGATAGGAACAGGTACAACTCAGGTAAAGAGGATATCATTTGCTTCTTCTCGGTTCTAGCCTTAAATACTTTGGGAAGAATACTTATGTCTTCTAAAGGGCTTCTCTTCAAACTTGAGCAGCAACTTTTTACTTTTTTTACTTGCTGCAGTCTAACCAATAACTGAAAAAACTCCGATAACTATCTCAGTAGGGTACTCCCTAAGGAAGTGACTATTTTGTTTTCGAACCATGCCAAATAGTTTGTCTCTTGCAAAACTTAAGTAGAAAAAGGCACTCTTACTAGGACATGAAATACCTCCATATATCTCCCGTTTTATCGCAACGGGAATCCTCACCTGGAGCGAGTAATAATGACCAACCTTTTATTGTCTTTTCATCAAAATAGATGCGAAAACGTAATAGTAATTGCCCTAGAGAGTACAATATAAAACAGTTAAGGTTTTTGACAGTTTCTGGCAAAAAAGTCGAACGAGACGGAAAAGGATTTTCGAAGTAGAACAGGGTTCAGAAGAGCCTGGAAACCCATTCCCCGGAAATGGATAAGCGTTTCATATAATTTCATTTTCGAAAACGCTTAATGCGTTTCCGAGAATACGTATTTTTTTAGAATGTGGTCCTTATAATAATCGTAAAATAGCCCGTCGCCTTATGCGGTAACTTAACCTTTTAGCTCATATATGCCTTTATCAGAAAGGGTTCTACGAGTTATTTATATACCCAACTTATTGCAGTTACAGAAATTAATAAAATATTCCGTTCGAAACAGCACACTAGAGAAAAATGTATTCATCGATCCTGACAGCAAATATCAAAGGAGGTTCCAGACTGACATCTGGGGCTTCTAGTTTAACTGTCTTTGTCTCATTGGTTCAAGCACATAACCTGACCAGACATTTTCGAAGATGTATATATGTGTTGCATACCAATTATGTATAGAAAAATCGGGCATTTGATGACCCAGCAGACCGGGAATAAAAGATTGGCAATTCTCTGGATAACAGATATGTGAACCCTCCACGATCCGCCGTATACTGCATATGAACTTGCTTTGCCATATACATAATACTTTAAATAGATCGTTAAAATGATAATTTAGCATTTGAAAGCTAGTTGTAGCTTGTGGGTTTGTCGACTCTCCTGATGCCCATGAAATGTTGTTTAGAAACTTCATTAGTCTATCAAAGTCGGTGTTTATACGTAGAAACAAATCTCTCGTTTTGCTGCACTCAGTTTCATGCTCGGCTTGATATTTCTGCAATTTACGTTTTCCAGCTTGTAGCATAGCATTAAAACCAGTTGTAAAATCTTGCCCCAGTTGTCCTGCTCCACCAAGCCATCCTTGCAGCGCCTCAGCCTCCTTCTCAAAAACATGTGTGCCATTACTTAGTGTTCCCAGAAGAGTTCCATTGGTTCTATCAACGTCGGATACAGCTTTCTTGACTTCATTTATCAGCTTATCGCAAGGATCGGCAGCTGTTGCTGATACACAGCTGATAAACGAAACCAATAGAACCAGAATTCGTATCGTGCACATCTTTGTTATCCTGTGTAAAAAATAACAATGTATATCAGTACATCAGAACAATGTAGTATGAAGTTTCCTACATCATGCTACAGATGCGCACGGATACCATTTTCGTATCCGTACCTGATCCGAGAGCTTTGTATTCGTATCCGATCCGTACCCGACTTATGCCTAAAAATTTTCTCCTTTTTGTTTCCAGCTAAAAACTCTTGTTTTTCGGCTGAAGATGTCAAATTATCATTACGTTCTCAAGTAATTATTTTATAAACTTTCATGTATTTTAGCTAAACTCATGCATTTTTTCACTAAAATTTTATGGGTTTTCCACTAGAATCTTCCGATTTTTGGGTAAATTAAAAAAAATAGAAATCGTACCCGTAACTGCTTTATCCCTGCCTGACCCGTACCCGACAACTTCGTATCCGTACCCAACCTTCGGGACGGGTCGGGTTGCACATCTCTAATCTGTGCGATCCATAATGCTGTCTCATTAGGGTCATATTAGCAGAAAAATCAAGTTGTTGCAAAATGAAATTAAACCACACTATCAAAACCGCAGCGGCAAGCTTCCTATTCTACTCCACTTTCGATTTTTCTACGCTTTGTAGCCAGAGATAGGATCAGTACAAGTACACAAGTATAGGTTCTTCATTTGTACATGTATTTAAGTACCTGAACCACTTTTCAGGTACTTTCTTTACGTAGCTCAGGCACTTTTTGCCAGAAGATTTCCACAATGGCAATCCTTTTTTGCAATAGATCCAGAAAAGGGAACCATACGTGTTTGAGCCTTTCTTTACATAACTGTATCTTAGAATTATTTAAGTCATGATGGTGCAGAAGAATATGAGATGTGTTTGCATTTCAAAATACAATGCTCTCTGATGTACTTCTAAGAGCCTTTGATAAATAGACGATGTAATGGAAGCCTCCTATCGTGACCATTCGATAGCCAACACTTGAAGGCATCTACTCATAAAAGGAAAAGTTGAAAGTTCGCTGTTGAGTATAGGGCTCTGAGAAGAGACCCAGAAAGACAATTCGTGTCTCATGTTTTAA